ATCTAGGATGTTTTTTTCCCCCACGTCTATAATTCATTTGAGCAATCCGAGCAGAAAATATAAATAAATACACACTAACTGATCTTGGACACCCGTAAAAGGACCCACAAATGAACCATACTCAGTTTGTTTTGGGGTACACTTACATTGTGAGCACTGAGGTCACTTGCGGCTGGATCCCTTTTTAGGGTAGTTCAGCTGACAGTTTAAGTGTACTAGATGTGAAAACAATCTTACAGCATTTATTTTGTAAATATAAACAAATTTCGATTTTGACGGCTGCAACACACTCCAAAAAAGTTGGGACAGAGGCTAAATAAAAGTGAAAAGGTTATAGAATATCCAAATTAAACTGTTTTGAAGCAGTGCACGCTGCTAATAGGTGAGGGGATCTCAGACTTTCAAAATCCTCCATCATTTGAATTAAGATTGTAATCATTTCATTTTAAAGCGCAGCCGCCACAAAAACAGACTTGGGCCTACTTTGAGATCGTTCTGAGGTTAAATACAGATTTAAAATCATAACAAGATAGTTTAATAGCTGTGATGCTGTTTTTGAAAACAAATCTGTGCATAGCTAAAGGAAGCACTGGATATCTAACAATGCCTTAGGGGGGAAAAAACTGTTCTTAAAAAAATATAAAATCTTAATCCTAAAAAGTAAAGCATATGCATAAACCCAAATAGGAAATAAAACAGTCATTTAAAAAAAACGTGTCTTATTCTGTACTCCTGAAACATTGGTGTCTTATATTTTAGAGCAGCAGTCAATGCAATTTATGAAAAGTCAATTAAATCTGTATGTGGGTGTTTGTGTTAAAAAATTCAGATGCAACCCCCTTTGTAATAGTTAACATTTTCATAAGTAACTAATTTAATTACACATTCTTTTTCTCAGTAACGGTCACTGAACATACAGCAGCAGTGTGTTTATACACTCACGTGATCAGATCCTGATGGAGGAGGAGGATGCTCTGAATCACCTTCACTCAGTGGTGGCTTCATGACGTGGCCCATTTAAGGACCAATCAGAAATCGCGCCGCGTCCCCTTTAAGAGCAGCTTCATTGCCTGGAGAATAGATGTGCGCGCGTCATGTATCCGTCTCTATACTGCTCGCTTATGGATCATATAGTGATGCGATGTGCTGGAGTCCTCCACAAGCCTCCGTCGATGGATCTGGAGTAACAGCACTGGCCTCAGATGCACTGACGCGTTTGTCGGAGGTGAGAACGAACGCGTGTGATCCAGGGGCCGCGCGGTTATTCAGGACGCGTCCAGAATGAACGGCCCTTCGCTCTCATTCATCACGCGCCGCTTTACCTGCATGTATGCGTTCGCATGTGTTTATTTGTGCTTGATGCTCGTTTAAATGCACGCACATGTGTGGTGACGGATGATTAAAGGTCTCTGCTTCTGGAGATGCTGCTTCAGTGTTGGTCACATGCACACTGTTTTGTATCGGTGTGTGTGTGTCTCTGTCTGTCTGTGTCTGTGTGTGTGTGTGTGTGTCTCTGTCTGTGTGTGTGTGTGTCTCTGTCTGTGTGTGTGTGTGTCTCTGTGTGTGTGTGTCTCTGTGTGTGTGTGTCTGTGTCTCTGTCTGTGTGTGTGTGTGTGTGTGTCTCTGTCTGTGTGTGTTTGATTCACAGGGATTCACAGCATCATGTATCATCCACGAGAACATAGAAACCGCATTTGTAAGAATGATACAAGAATTAAAAATATATATTTAGAGGTAAATAAAATTGGCATTTATGTAAATTCCCCCATAACTGTGTGTAAATGTTTATTTAGGGCAACAAAATCAGTGTAAAGTAATTGGGGCAGAACTACAGTACCTAAGTGTAAGTTAAAACATCACGTAAAGTTAAAATAATGTAATACAAAATGTAAATGCGTAGAAGCACAACTCTTCAGTATATTTAAAAAAATAAACCTGTCTATGTATTGGAGAAACGTTAGTTTGGTTAATTGCTCATATTTTCACTCTCTTTTACATTTTTTGTATTTTACGTTCTCTGATGCCCGTCCTCATGTCATTTGTAAAAATGCTTTGTAAGTTAAACGGTAAACACTTACATATCCATAGAGTAAGCTTTACCATCTGTTATTTTCTGGGTTGTCAAATATAAGTGTGTGTATATAATGTTATATAACTCAACTAATATTGGCACCCTTGGTAAATAGTTGCAAACGGACTCAGAAAAAATAGATTTAGCGGTTTGTCAAATTAGTCTTTCGTTTACAATATTCACACAAATCTTACCTTTTAATTAAAGTTTGTCAAAAAAATAAATGTGGAATAATTTTTTTTTTAATCTATAAAATGTGTGTGATGTGGAACCCCTACAAATTGTAATGAGAAAAATCTAACTTAAATATATCACCATTTATAACGTATGGGTTTTAAGACAAAGGACTGTTGAGCTGCAGAAATCAGGAACCACACTGTAAAAAATTACCGTGAATTTAACGGTAAAAGACTGTAAAAATGCTACAGTAAAAACCTGTTAACGGTAAATTCCCCTACTATATACACGGTGAAAAACTGTATTGGACATTACATGTAATTTTACAGTAGTATACCGTTTTTGGAAGTGAAAAAGACCGTATAATTTACAGTGAATAACCGTAAATTGACATTCCCAGAATTTTCAAATTTCAAATGTGATGTTTTTTGTTGAAATAACTGTTTCTTAGTTTTTTTTTTCTTATCAGTTTTGTACATTAGGGTTGTATGCTACACCTAATGTTGTTAAATGAATGTTTATTGCATTATTTCAGTTTCATGTGTGTTACCGTGATGGTGTTTAGTGTTTGTGTGAACGACGCTGTGCACCTTCTATATATGTTAATATTTAAAAGCTGCTTGTGATGGGCTTTGGTTCATCATGTGACTTTCTCATCACCTCCTGCATTTGGTGGTTATCAGTGTATTACAAAGCTACAAAACAGATTTCAGTACTTCAGTAGGTTGATATATTAACATTATATCAGTTAATGAAATTATGGTATTTATCTGTAAACTTAAGTTAAAACCGTAAAACCTAAAATGTTGCTACCGCATTTTTTACGGTAAAATTCTGGCAACCACAGCTGCCGTTTTTTACCATAAATTTTACAGAATTTTTTTTACAGTGCTGTTCAATGGTTAAAATGCTAATTTCTGTTCTCTGGGCAGTAATTAGTAAGTTTAAAATCTAGTGGGGATGGAAGAAGATGTGTGTCTCACAGTGAGGAGGATGCTTTGAGTCTTTAAAGATCACATTTGGAGACGTGCAGATGCTGGTTGTGTCTTGGGACCAAAAAGTCTAAAACAACGATCAACCACCGAAATTGCCATTAAAAAGTTGCCATAAAAAGCCTTCGATGTCCTCAAACAACAAACCTATCTCTTCAGCTGGGCTGTGGCCGGATCTTCCAGCAATGATCCACGAATAAATCAACAAAATAGTTCACTGACCACAGAAAGAGGGTTTAGCCATGGACAGAACTCCATAGAGAGCCTGTGGGCTGAGCTGAATGATCTGGAGAGATGCTGTGTGAAGGAGTGCTCTCGGATCGCTTGCCATGCGTTTATCAACCTCATTACACATTACAGAAGAAGACTCCGAGCCTGCTGTCTTGGCAAAGGGAGGTTGCACAAAATATTAAATGCAAAAAATTTTTCTTTCAGTTGTTTTACTTTAATTACAGTTTAGATTTGTGTAAATATTTTGAATGAAAGACAAAGAAGATAAACCTTTCCAAGGGTGCCAATATTTGTGGAGGTCACTGTTTTGTACCGTTTCAGTGTTATACACTTGTCTTAATGTCTCGTGTTCAGTGAATGGCTTGTTTTCAGACAGATGCTGGTCTGCGCTCGGTGTTATTCTCTGCATTATGATTGGAAAATAAGTCTACTACCCAGAGGGAAGAGACTGCTGTGTGTCTGTGTCACAAAAGTGATTCATTGTTCTAAGTTTTTTTGTTTAAAGTAATCTTAAGAAATGCATATGTTTGTGTGAAGTCTGATCTTTGAGAAAATATTAAGGGCCACTAACTTCGTCAATTCTTTCATTGTTTTATTTTACTGAACTGTACCATGAATTTGTCTTATGGTGTGACAGTGCAAAAATTAAGAATAAAATCTATTAATAATATATAAATAGCATGAGAGAGATTTATCTTAATTGTTAGACACTTATTTTCATATAATTCTATTGTTCCAGCAATGATCCACGAATAAATCAACAAAATAGTTCACTGACCACAGAAAGAGGGTTTAGCCACGGACAGAACTCCATAGAGAGCCTGTGGGCTGAGCTGAATGATCTGGAGAGATGCTGTGTGAAGGAGTGCTCTCGGATCGCTTGCCATGCGTTTATCAACCTCATTACACATTACAGAAGAAGACTCCGAGCCTGCTGTCTTGGCAAAGGGAGGTTGCACAAAATATTAAATGCAAATTTTTTTTCTTTCAGTTGTTTTACTTTAATTACAGTTTAGATTTGTGTAAATATTTTGAATGAAAGACAAAGAAGATAAACCTTTCCAAGGGTGCCAATATTTGTGGAGGTCACTGTTTTGTACCGTTTCAGTGTTATACACTTGTCTTAATGTCTCGTGTTCGGTGAATGGCTTGTTTTCAGACAGATGCTGGTCTGTGTGCGTCTGCGCTCGGTGTTATTCTCTGCATTATGATTGGAAAATAAGTCTACTACCCAGAGAGAAGAGACTGCTGTGTGTCTGTGTCACAAAAGTGATTAATTGTTCTAAGTTTTTTTGTTTAAAGTAATCTTAAGAAATGCATATGTTTGTGTGAAGTCTGATCTTTGAGAAAATATTAAGGGCCACTAACTTCGTCAATTCTTTCATTGTTTTATTTTACTGAACTGTACCATGAATTTGTCTTATGGTGTGACATTGCAAAAATTAAGAATAAAATCTATTAATATATAAATAGCATGAGAGAGATTTATCTTAATTGTTAGACACTTATTTTCATATAGTGTTATTTATTTAATATGAAATTATAATTAACATAATTTTTTCCCCATGACTTGTTGGATAAAGCTTTGCTGTCATCTGTTCAAAACTGCTGAAAAATCATACCATTTTAAGATGAGTGATAATTATATCTCCCCTAAAGCAATACTCAACTGTTTTATTTTTAAAGATATTTTGAGATGATAACAAATCTGTGGTTCTTTTATGTGTCACACCATAGGACAATACATCACACTAAAGAACAGAAATGGTAGTTATTAAAGTATTTCTATTTAATTTTGAACATGTCAAAGGAGAAAGAAAGTTTAATTTTGATACAAACAATATCAACATGCTTTTTTTTAAACAAAACACAAAATAATTTTCATCAACAAAAGTCAGTCTCTTAGTTAATTAGTATGTTACTGAAACTCTTCTAGCCCCCCGCTGCACAGCTAAATATGATTGATATTCAAACTATATTCATTAACATGTGAATGAATTCAAATATATATATATATATATATATATATATATGGCTACTCTTTTTAAGGCATTATTTTGATTCTATTTTCTTTCTGCATCGCTCTCTTAGGACCTCCTTCCTTCTGGTAGATCCCTGTTAATTTTCTGTCTATATTTCTGTGTCCTCTCTCTTGCACTAATTGCTCTCCCTCAATTCTTTCGGTCTCAAAAATAGGATCACATGATCATGAATGGGGTCCTTCAACTAATTAAGGTTTTCTCTGGAATTGGCCAGATTTAAAATCATGATATGGTGTCACACCAGAGGACATGGATTTCAGAGACAAAATGGATGAAAAAAATGATTGCTATTTACTAAAATAGACACTTGTACAATTATGCCGGAGGTATTTATTAATTTTTTTTTAATAAACTCATGCATAACTATTACGAAAGGTCAAAACATTTACTGATGCTCAAGAAGGCCACACAATGCATTAAGAGCTGGGGGGTGTAAATTTTTCTTATTTTGTTTAAAGATCATATTTTTTTTCATTTGGTACTGCACTTAAGAAGCTACATAAATACTTAAATGTTTCCCAGAAGACAAAATAAGTACAATTTTCCCTGATCATCCAATTAAAAAAGTTTACGCCCCCCATCTCTTAACCTGCAGACTTAAAAACAACCCACATAAGTCAACATCATTTGCCACTAGTGCTGTCAAACGAGTAATCGTGATTAACTCTCAGTTTTTGTTTACATAATATATGTGTGTGTACTGTGTATATTTATTATGTGTATATATAAATACACACACATACATGTATATATTTCAGAAAAATATGATGTTTATATATTAAATATCTTTATATATAATATAAATGTAAATATTTTCAAAATATATACTGTGTGTGTGTGTGTGTGTATTTATATATATATACACAGTGGTAGTCCCAAAGCTTTAGAAACGGCTTTATAACCTTTTCCAGACTGATTGATCTCAATTACATTCTTTCTCGCTTTTTTTCTGAATTTCTTTGGATCTCAGCATGACGTCTAGCTTTTGAGGATCTTTTGGTCTACTTCACTTTGTCAGGCAGGTCCTATTTAAGAGATTTCTTGATTGCGAACAGGTGTGGCAGTAATCAGGCCTGGGTGTGGCTAGAGAAACTGAACTCAGGTGTGATAAACCACAGTTTTAACAGGGGGGCAAACACTTCTTCACACAGGGCCATGTAGTTTTGGATTTTGTTTTCCCTTAATAATAAAAACCTTCATTTAAAAACTGCATGTTGTGTTTACTTGTGTTATCTTTGACTAATATTTAAATTAGTTTGATGATCTGAAACATTAAAGTGTGACAAACATGCAAAAAAATAAGAAATCAGGAAGGGGGCCAACACTTTTTCACACCACTCTATGCAGTATATATACACATATATATTATCTAAAAAAACCTTTTATTTTGGATGTGATTAATCGTTTGACAGCACTATTACTTTTTCAGTACGACTCGCATTGACAGAGGAATATCCAATCTGTCCTCTTACATGGCAGATGCAAATGCACGTATCTGATTCATATCCAAATATGGAAATAAATGAATGAGGCCTGAAACTGAATACTGGAATCCATGCCCTTTTTTCTGCTTACATGTTTGTGTGTCATATCAGATATGTGCCACATTGGAGGAAGAAATAGGTCGTTTGAACCATGTAATGTAAATGTGGCCTTTTGCTTCACACTTTCTTATTTGCATACTGACCTGTTGCTCTCTCCGTGTTTGTGTGTCAGTGGTTTGCCAGGGCATTGGCATGGCCTAGTAATGAATGGTGACGGGGCTCCCAGCAGCCCGGAGCACTCCTCCTGCACGCTGCCCGACTGGAAGGAGTTCTGTGAGCTTCACGCTCGAGCCTCCGCCGCCGATTTTGCCTACAAGTTCCGGCGGTTCATCAGCGAGAACCCATGCTACGACGCGCCCGGTGCTGACGCCAGCTTCTCGCAACACTTTGCTCAACACTTCTTGACCTGCTTCTCTGCCGCCCTTGACCAAGGTCCCGGCTCCCCGGGAGACTCCTCCGCTCCGAAGTACAGCATCGTGCCCTTTGTGGGCCTACAGAGCTGCACGCTGCCCTTCAGTCACGACCTCTACCATCGACGCAAAGACGTGGGGGCCTCGAGCGAATCGCTGGATAGCATGGACAGCGGAGGGGGCGGAGCCAGCGGAAAGGGACAGCAGACCCCCACCCGTAAGATGGCAACCGTGAGCCAATCCAGGAGTTCGGAGGATGTGTCATTGGGGCGACGCAAGGCTCGCTTCAAGAAGGGCTTTTCCCTCCGCAACATGAGTCTGAGCGTGGTGGACGGGGTGAAGGAGATCTGGCACCGCAGGGCCTCTCCAGAACCAGACCCCTCGGGGAGCTCCAGGAGGACCATTGGAGCCGAGTCCGTGGGGCCCGAACACTGGAGCCAGAAGCTGCGGCTGCCACGGGGCTCTCAGGGCCATAAGGCGGAGCTGTTGGAGATCCAGAGGGAGGGTGTGCTCCGATACATGGTGGCCGATGACACTAACTGTATGGGGGCGGCACAGTGGCAGAAATGCAGGTTGCTGTTGAGGAAGACTGCCGTGCATATGGACGAAGGAGAGAAGTTCCAGCTTGAGTTCTACGTTCCACCAAAGGTAGAAGAGCACTGTGATAAAACTCTTTATTAGTATGCGAGTTTGTGGGTTAGGGGAAGAAAAACATCAGTTGAGGATTTGCACATACACCATAGTTTGGTCAATTACCCGGATCCGCGGCCATTATTGGAGATACTCGGATGTAAACAACAGCATGGATTGCACAGATAATGTACTACTGAAGTTCTAATAATTTACGATGTCTAAAGCCCCGTTCACACCAAGAACAATAACTATAAAGGTAACTGTAAAGATAACGATATTAGCGAACGTCCACACCAGCGGACGATATCATCTGTTTATTCTAAGCACACGCTCGTCTGCCGCTTTAAATTCTCCAACTTGTGACCGCAGGATTGATTCTGATTGGGTGTCAATGATTTTATCGTTCATCTGCTGGGAAAAAAAATCGTTCTTAAAGTGATTTCATCGATATTGTTTCTCTGTGCCTTTATCGTTATAGCTGTGGTGTGGACTCTGCTATTCTTTAATATTGAGAACGAACGATTTTTAGAACTTTATCTAAAATCTTTATCGTTATGTTTATAGTTATCGTGCTTGGTGTGAACGGGGCTTAAACCACAGAAAAAACGCGTGGAAGCTGCTAAATCAGGACTTAGTAAGCAGGAAAGGGCGTGATACTTTGACAAACTAAAGTTCATAGTATTAGTTAGCTGACAAGAAATGATAACCGCAAACACGATTGTTGTCAAGATTCTTGCCCTGGAAATTCAGGTTCAATTTGGCCAACCACAAATTGGTTTTTTTCACTCTTCTCCTTGATTTGTTGTAACTTTTGGCAGTCTATAGTAGTGATCGACCGATATTGATATTTTATTACCAATTACTTGCATGTTTATGTGCCCGATAACCGATATGCAGAGCCGATATTTATTTACTGTTATAAAGTAAATAAATGACTGAGTGAAGTAAGTCACTCTTACTTCACTTTGGGTTTTTCTCCTTTCAGTCATCTTAAAAAAAAAAAAAAGTGTTGAAAATTAGCAATCTTTCATGTTAAATTTAATCTTCACATTACAACAATAAAAAACATTTTATTTAAAGCATCAGCAGCAACACTAATATTAGCAATAAGCAAAATAAATGTAGAAGGTCTAATGTTTTCAAATGGAGAAAATAAATAAAGGAAAGGAGTCAAATCAACTTCATTTTAAACTACAGTGTTAGTAGGTTTATAAGCTGTTTAATAGCTACAGAGTCAAGAATAATTCACTGGATAATGTTAATTCACTGAATAATATTCTCTGGAATATTGAAATATAACAAACAAAACATCGTAGACCCTTTAGTTTGGGGAACTAAATTAGCTCCTACTTCAGAGTAGGGTCTAAAACAGTTCTATAGGATCTAACAGTGACGTAGTGTACAATGATTGGCCAAACGCATATGAAACACCAGCTACCCGGCATTTTTAAAAGCCATCTCTCAGTCCAACTTTTTGCTCTTTCAATTGCATAAATTGTGCATCTACATTCCATCTCCATTATCATTAGACCATTTTCCAGCATCAATAATCAGCTAAATTTGCGAGTTCCGTTCGGTTCAGTGGCATTGTTTACGTTTAGTGCCGCCAATATGACCGACTTCTGGATTGATGACATGTTGTGACTCTCTAATAACAGAGGTCTTCACTCCTGAAGACCCACTGTACTGCAGAGTATCACTGCAACTCTAATCAAAAACACCTGAACCAGCTAATCATTGTGTTCAGGATGACTTGAAAACAGCAGGCAGGTGTGTTGGAGAAGGTTGGAATTAAACTTAGCAGGATAGTTGGTCTCCAGGAGCAGGGTTAAAGCCCTCTGTTTTGTAGGATAGATCTTTCCTCTACTATTTGCATAGGAATATTGGGCATCTTAGGCTTTTTTGTCAAATAATGTTTCTTTTTGATTTGGTGTCGCTCAAACCCTGGTCTTCTATACCTGGAGTCTAGGGGTGTGCGATACTTTCTGTCTATGATAATATCGTAATTGTTGTTTTAATGATGTGTGAGCTGACATTGCTTATGCATCCAAAAGCATTCACTGCATGATTAAGCCTAATTAGAATGCAGCTAAAATGATGATATATTTCAAGTTATATTAGCAAAATAGGTTTTTGTTTTCTTAAGTTTTATTATAGTTATAAGATATGATATAGTTTAGTAATATCATGCAAGCAAGAGTGCTGTTTTCCTGAATATCAGCATGTGAACATGATTTCAAATGTGATATTTACTTTATATAAATGTTCAACAGACAAGTAGTTAATATTGAGTAAGGTATATTTTAGACACAATATTGTAAATAGTTCAAACAAGTCAGATGAGAACATTTGTGTGTCTCAGAGAAGGTGTTTTGCTCCTGAATGGATCTGTTTTTGCAGGAATCACTTGAGTCAGTGATTCGGTGATCCATTCATAAGGACAGTCACTTGCTTAGTTTCTAAATGAATCAGCTGTTTTGAAAGAATCATTTGAATGAATGAGTCAATGAATCACTCACTAAGACAGGGTCTTGCCGCTGGTTGTAGTATCATATTTATTTATCTATGGCAGGCCAAAAACCAGCCGAAGTATCAGCACAGAAACACACTCCGCAAAATAACTAACTTTTAATTATCATTATCTACAAAATCTTAGATATCTTTTAAAAAAAGACTTTTAAAAAAGACACTGTGTCAATATCGCACACCCATATTAGAGTTAAAAGTCATTTATTTGTCATTTGCACTGGATACACTGATGATTAAGAGCTTGTGACCAGGCTCAGATTCAGACAACAGCTGTTTCCATCACACTGCTTTTAGCCACATTTTGAAGTATCGCATCAGAAACGAGTGATGGAAATGCTGAATTTCAAATAAAAATACCTTAATTTGCCAAAAGGTTTTTATGCTCGCTTGAGATGGTTTTTGACTTGTGCGCAAAAGGGTTATTATGAATAATGGGAGATGGAAACGCATTTACCGAATAAATTCCTCCATGTGCATCAAAAACGTCTTTGCACTATGGGATGGCAAAACCTGACTAACCAGCGGACCGATCTCGTTCCACAGCATCTGAAATGTTGTTATGGTCATTCTGAAAATCCAGAGCAAAGTCTGTCATCAAAGCATTTCTGTATAATCGTCTTACACGACTGCGTTCCCAAACAGCAGCATCCGCCTCCGAAAGCAATGACCGCATTTATTGTGTTTCATCTGCTTGTTCTGAGGCGCAAGTAATTTATTATGTATGAAAATTATTATATTCAGTGGCCTCTCCTACTTTTCTTAGTGATGTCTAGTACCAGTTTATCAGGAAGTGACGATTTTGTTCTCTTTGACTTGTTGGATGGAAACGGTGCTTTATTTGCAAATGTTTTATGCGATATTCCAATTTTGTGCATAAGTTAATTTCGAGCTTTGCAGCTGGAAGAAGAGTTGCTGCCGTACCATACAGCGATGAAGCCTGTGATGCAGAGGTGTGGGAGACTTCCCTAGTTCTCAAATCATGTTCACTTTCTGCATTCAAATTTACTGCGTTGACGATAGATGCACGAACCATCAAGGTTTGTGTGTGCGGTTTCTTCTTCTGCTTTATGAATGCCGCTCACAAGCATTCTCGCGTGCGAAAGCGATTCAAATGAGAGAGGACAAGGTTTTGACTTAAATTATGGTTTGGTTTTTTTGCATAAAGCAATCAGATTAATTCAGAAGACTCCAGAAAATCATATGAAGTACGTTAAAGGTGCATTAAGCAATTTCTAGAAAACGCTGTTGAAATTTGAAATCATCAAAACAAAACAAAAAAGGGACAGATCTTGATGCCTTCAACCCCACATTCACACACACACTATCCACCTTATATTTCCCATAGAGCGGGCGCAGCTATTTGTAAATTTAATGGCCTCCGGTGTCATCCGCTTCCTGCTATTTTTAGCTGTATAAAATGGTTCATTTTGCTGCTTGATATTGCAAACTGATGTGTCTTACCATATTATTTTAATGTATTATCTTAATCATGAACACACTGGTTTGTTGGGATGTAACGATTAACCGCTCCGGTGTCATCCGCTTCCTGCTATTTTTAGCTGTATAAAATGGTTCATTTTGCTGCTTGATATTGCAAACTGATGTGTCTTACCATATTATTTTAATGTATTATCTTAATCATGAACACACTGGTTTGTTGGGATGTAACGATTAACCGCGAGCCGGTTGAAAATCGATTCAAATATGTGACGATTCAAATCGGTTGAGATGCTAAACAAATCGCGATTCAATTAGGGTTAAGAGTTTATATGAATGCATGTCTGAGGGGAACTTACTGTCTTTAGAAAAGTTTAGATGGTATTTTTTTCTTTTCCTCTTGCCTCTGTATAATGCATATTAAAGTTCATAAG